TTCGTCCTCCTGACGAATATCAGTTGAAAAGAAACTTATTCAGTAAATAACATTTAGAGGATTTGAAATTTTAAATTTTATTTTAACGGCCATGCATGGCACTTACTAGTGGCGTGGTAGCAACTAGAAAGCTTTCTAGTTGCTATATATCGGGGGTACAAACCCCCGAAAAGAGCGACACCTCTCCTCAACCTTTTCCGCCACAAGTTATATTTCTTCTCATTAAGGCGGGAAAAAATGGTCTTGGTCAAGACGTTCGAGTTGGTTTCATCCCGCTCCTCATCACTCCCTCCGAAGGGGTGAACGACTAACCTATGGTCGTCCATCAGAGACGACATTTTACAAGGAATCCGAGGATACCCATTTGTAAAGGGTCTTCCTTATTAACCATACAGTCTCCGTTTGTCTTCAGGTTTCGTTTGGTTCAACTCATTTACATTTATAGGAATACATATAGAAACTGTTCCAAGTGTTAGCACAGCATAATGTTTTGCTTTCCCTCAACAGTGAGTTGATAATCCAATAATAAAGATGGAAATCGTCAGACCGTTTTATTTGAAGTTATTGAATCCTCATAACCATCCGGCGAAAAGGATTATTTATAAGTGAAATGCGCCTTGTAACTGGGCTTATGTATGAATAGAATGTAGAATGCATACAATCTCCTGAATAGTGATTAGGTTTAAAAATCGATCACATGACTCTACTCATTTTCTTCCGCTTGAATAAGTTTATTTTTGTTTTTTTCTCAAGTTAGTCAGGTTATAATATTTTTTAACTATGGTTGCAAGACAGGGAAATATCGGCTATCGGCTTCCACATAGTTGTCATAATAGTAATAGAATTTTCGAATTCCTCTTCTCCTTATCATTAGGAGCTCTTTTTGAAAGAGCAATCAGCTGATATCTTTTAACTGGAAGGTAATATCTAAAGAAGTATATGCTAGAAGGTATGGAAAAGATTCGGGATAAATTGATTGGGGGCTACTTATCAACCACTCCATTTTCCCTGAATGACAAGTTAGGGGACACGTTTTGGGGTTTCCTTGGTATTGTTTAAATCTGTCTAAAATCTGTTTCTCCGTTAATCAGCTGTCGCCCTCATACGAACGACAACTCTCAGAAGTTGAGAAACTTGTGCGATCCGTGAGCAGTGTCCTTACGATCCAACTCAAATCTTCGCTTTTGAGGAAGCTGTTATGGACTGTATTGATCCTTGCCAGGGTTACTGCCATTTCTAAGTCATTCAGTGTTTGTAAAATAACTTGAAGTATCAGGTTGATTTGATCCAATACGTTTCTGATTTCCAGATAGTGATTGAAGTCAAAAACGAGTCCATTGAGATCGGTTTCAATTCTCTTGACTTCTATTGAGATGGTATCTTGATTATGTGTTAATAGAGAGATGGTTTCATTGTAGCTCTCCATTATTCTTGTGTTTAAACTGATGTGTTGGTTCACATGACTTATTATGTTCCTTTGGTTGTTTTCTAGGGAAGCAATAGCATTCTCATATTTCCTTGCATCTTCTTGGTCCAAGTTTCCAGAAATTGCTTTGATCACACTTCCTAAGCCATCTATGAGTCCTCTTTTGGGTCTACTGAGAGGATAAAGAGTCTGTAGCTTTTCCTTGGCAGTTTTCAGTTGGTACTTCAGTCCTTGATCGAAATTTTGCAAGTTGAAGAAATAAGGGTCACTTAGTCCGTTACGAATTGCTGTGGAGACGGCATCATATTGGGATTCTATAGCGAATATCTCTTCGTGGATGGGTTGAAGATCGTAGTAGTGGATGAAGTCGTGGGTACTAGTCTTGATCTTTGCTTGTCCCATCTTGAGGGGAAGTAGTCCTGGATTTGTCTTGAGGTTCTGGATTTCGATCTCCTGTCCTCTCGTCAGATGAAGACTGTAAAGGGACGAANCAATGAGGTGCTCATAGAGTGTGTCTTCAAAATTGATACTGAGGTCCCCTGCAAGAATAATCGATGAATTAATTTGATAGTTAGGAAAGTAAGGATTCCAAATGTTTTAAGGACAAATAAATGTATGTCTGATGACGGGAGTCCTATAATCGCAAATTACGTATAATTTAGGAACTGATCACATGTTTTGTTCGAATCGATAGAGCGAAAGATTCGAAATATAATGAAAATTGGAAAAAAGTCAAAGTGACAGTAGTGACAGAAATTTCGAGCAAGGGTATAAAATTGGAAACTGAGCAACTTTTTTCTTTGGTATTTTTCAAAATTTACAAAGAAACTTATTTTTTGAGGATTTTCGAAAATAATTTGACAGGTATAAAGTAGCACATGACAAAAGGAAAAGGCGGTTCTTTACTCATTTTTCAAGCACAAATTAACAGCGAAGTCAGAGAAAGCAATGTGTATTATATAATGAAGAACTCAGTAGCTTACAAACAATCTTGAATGGTGTTCTACAAGGTAGTGTGCTTGGGCCATTACTTTTCTTAATTTATATCAATGACCTGCCAAATTCAATGACGATGTTCGTTCACAATGTTATTCGCTGAAGACACTTTTTTCGCTATTCGGAAATAAAATACTGAGGAGTTATCAGAATTAGAAAAGTAAGTTATTCAGGAAGCTATGGACTGGTTCGATGCAAATAGCTTATGTGTGAATAAAAGCAATACCCAAACAGGTATGTTCTTGCTGTCTCATGATCTCTCAGATGATGTGAAATTATTGATTCAAACAGTTCAGCATCGGCAGTCAAACTGTCTACAGGTGTTCGGGCTAGATAAAAAATTTGCGATTTGTGAAATCCGAGAGTGACATTTAAGAATAACGTACTCGATATCAAATCAGTAGGAGTTAATAGGGTTAAAGTTATTTTCTCATCCATTGAGGCAGCCAATGGTCTTATAAATCATGAAACTATCACAAAAAACGATCTGATTGCATACATACCCAAATTCTACACCCAGAAAAAGGGGATCATTAGAATGGTGGACACCTTTTTCTCTGAAAAGTACCTCGAGGAAGCAATTATTTCTTCCAAACAAGTTATGGAAGTCCATAGAATGAAACGAAAAATCGTAGATAAGGATGGCAAAGAGGTTTATGTTGATCGACAAATGATAATAGTATCCTTCTNAACGTTGTCAAATTATTTTTTCGTGACGAAATATAAGTAAAATGGGATAAAGTCATAATAAACTTAAACAATTTCATGTTTTAATTATTTTGGGTTTTAGACAAGATTTTTCCAAACCATTATGACCGGGTCAGGACTTTGTTCTCATGGGTGCGGAGGTTCGTACTCACGCCTATAATCCGGAGAGAGATGATTTAAGTTAACTGTCTATAATGTGTATGGAGATTTTGAGAATTTTGTTATTGTTTTGTTCTCTCTCAGGGTATTTGGATTCATATTAGGTATGTTATGTGTAGAAACCTTCAAGACTAAAGTATAATTGTTTTACAAGTGGGGCGCCTTCGTCAAGAAAAAATAATTTTTGCTTAGTAGGATAATGAGGAAGGCAAAATAGGGAGCACTACCTACCAGATATTATTTATAAATCAACATTGAAACCGAATTGAGGACTGACTTTGTTTGTGTATTTTGTAATTTTTGTTGGGCTATGATTTTAACATTGTGGAACGTTTTGTTTTGTTTTACTATTTGCTCGGGTATATTATATTTTTCTTGCTATTGATTTTAACATGGTGGAACATTATTTTCTTATTCTAGCAGAGATGACTCTGCCTCTGCTAATGATTTATTTAATCGGTATTAATTTTTTAGAAAGGGGTAGAAATGGTCACTAACGTAGCCTTAGTCCATAGGGGCAAACCACCATCAGCAGAAAGATAGACGGTGGTAGAATGTCGACCTAAAAGGTGAGCACCATCATTTTGGGAGTAACCTTACTTATGCCCGGCTTCATCACCCAGGTGAAGACCCTAATAGCCTACGATTGTGACGACAAAGCGACAGAAATTTCTGCAGTGTCTCTTCGCGATGTCGCGGAGTGTCCAGAACCACAGACAACTTATCAAAGTGAACCCAGTACCGTTAAAATAATCCAAAAGGACGAAGTTGCTTTGCCACATGCGTGGACTTGTTTGATCGAAACTACGCGAGTGAATATGCCTTGCAGGATGCACAGCCATAGCTCGATCGTGGCCAGAGGAGTTCAAAATTATGCGAACCGACTAGGTGCAGACATATATATCGCAGCGCGCACTGATACCGATCCATTCGAATACAGCACCAAAAGATTGAGGACCTGGCAATGAATGGAACTACTATCTCTTTGCTAACATTGGAAGGATTAGTAAACCCGAATGGAACCTGCGAAGGAACTACTCATCATGAAAATGGACAACTATGGACAGGGATAATTATGTTAGCCAATGTGAAAATTATTATGACGGCCTTGGAGGCCAAAGTGGAGTTAGACGATAACGAAATAGTTGTTACAGGAAATGTGGTGTGCCCATATTTGAAGGCATACTGTTTTGACCTTAGCGTCGGCGAGGCCACCTGGAATACTACTTCAGAACGGTGTTAATAAAAGTTCAGCTTGCTTCACGCAGGCTTTGTAGAAAAGATAAACAATAAGATATATGATGGAATTGGCCGATACTAGATGAAAATCTATAACTGACGTTTTCAAAAAAACACTTTATTGTGGTTTTCACTAAACAGTTTTACAAAAACGCAACACGTATTTCGCCATACAATGGCTTCTTCGGGCGTGTCTTTATTGTAAAGACACTGCAGTAACTAACGTTACTGATGTTTCCTCCTATGAGGAAATTTTCAAACCAATACAATAATGTCTGTGGTAAAAAACAAAGGAAGTTTTATGTCTCTTATTTCATAATCACGTCGTACCACAAAATAAACTATCATTAACAGGATCAGGTTAACTGAGAGAACCTGAGAAAATGTCTGTCTCTTGCGCGAGAAAAACATTTCACTTTTTTCGCGTTGTGGAAAGGGATTTCTGATTATTCAATATTCTGTGCCTTCAGTTTTCAGTTTCGTCACAGAATTCGTTTGGTGTTTGAATACTGTTGTCCATAGAAATTCCTGTAAGTCAGGTCAAGAGCATGGAATGGAAGTGTCAAGTCAAAAAGGGATATTTGAAATCAAATTAATTATCCATTCTGGCAGCAGGATATTGAATAGATAATATGTTTATTTTGCGAATATAGAGAACGAAATTTTGAAATATTTCCAGTATTCCAGATGTTACACAACAGATAATTTTATATACCTTCCCGAAAAAGATTAAGGTTAAATAAACATTATGGATAATATAGTTGATGAAGTGCCGATTAGATTTTGTAAGTACTAGTTAAATAAGATATCAGTTCACTAATGTGTTAGTTTATACCATTATTTGATTTGTCACACTGCAATTACATTAATTGGAAATCGTAACCTGTAAGGTTGGATGATATTGGGCATGAAGTAATTTTCAGATTATAGAAAATATTTGTAACTACATATTTGATATTTGAAATATGTATTGTTCCAGGGTTCAAGTTGTTTCAAGTTAAATTTACTTTTTGATGGTACAACATTTATTCCAATAAAATTGAGTGTTATTTGCTGTGAAGTTCAGAAAAACCTCTTATTGTATCTACTTACTGCAAGTTCAGTGATGAAAAAAATTAGTCCCAGAGTACGACATGTACCTACCTAGAAGTAAGTGAAATAAGAAATTATTTATTTACCTTGTATAGTTTGTATTGAATATATGGTAGGCAAATTATCACAAACATCTATAATTTACAACATTGAAAATTAAACATTGAAATCTTTGATAAAAATCAGCAGTAATATTATTCACATCATTTACAACATTTTTAGGTGGTCTGTCTTGATCACAAAATGATTTGAGAAAATCACATTCTAAAATATATTGCATATTAAGCTCTGTAAGAATTGTTTTGTACTGAAACATTTGAAAAATGCATGCAGTACCCTTCAATATATTACTAAAGGTTAAGTACTTTGGCTTTGAACCCTCAAATCAATCGTATGATTTGATATTACGGAAATTCAAGCCATTCAACTGATTCAGATTTTCATTGTATGTATGTTAATATGTCAGTAATCGAATAAATGTATTTCTCTTTTTTTCTTATTATACTCGTATTCCTTTTTTTAATAGATTTCTATCCTGTTTGATTATTTTTCTGATCAATAATTCAGTTAGAAACCCAAAATATCATACTTTTCTGTAAACTAAACATTGACCTACAGTTTTACAAAAATAAATTCCATCCCTATAAGCTAAAGTTCATACACACTCTTAAAGAAAGAGATTTCGATATTCGAGTAGAATTTTCATTTTGGTTCCAAAGTGAGAGAGAAAATGATATCGCATTTCCCTACAGTATTTTATGAACAGGCGAGGAAACTTTCACGTCGAACGGAACAGTTAGTTCCCAAAATTGTCGCTGGTGGTCCAACAATAATCCAAATTTTGTAATAGAATGCTGTGACCTATATTCATTCAAGACAAGTGTGTGGTGTGGATTATTACATAACCAACTAATTGGACCATATTTTTTTAAGAGAAAATTTGAATGCATGTGCAGAAATTTCATTATAAATCAGTTTTGGATAATCTGCCTCTAAGTATTAGTTGAAATTCGTGGTATAAACGATATCAAGGGAGACAAACTGATTAGTAATGGACGTTTTTGTTTGCCTTTAAAAAAAATTATAAACAATAGAAGGATATCAGATTACACAGGATGGTGGAAACTTAAGGAATACGATTTAGTAAATTAAAATAAGCACTATTTAGTCCTTCTATGTCCCTTCTAGTGTTAACACTTTCCTGTTTGAAATTGTGGATCATCTTACTAAACAGTCGCGTACCTAATAAAGGTTGAATATCTAAAATTTTGGGGTTTGCAAAGTCAAAACTGCAGTTCAATATTGCTAATGTGACTTCAGGTATTATATTTCGTATCTAATATGGGAATCTATGAGAGAAAAATAGGCTGTTATTGATTGGGCATAGTCTAGTTCTGTAGAGATGACTCTCAGTGCGTAGCAGTCTGAGGCAAGCTTCTTGCTTTAAGTGCAGCGAATAGTAAGAATGCTGGTTTTATTGATGTTGAAGGATAACATTGCAGTCACACCATTCTTTCATTTTTTTGATGTCTTTAGAGATGATCTCACGGAGAACGGCATTATCCTTGTCGCGCCATAATAAGGTGGTGTTGTCAGCAGAGAGGGTGATTGTGGCTGACATATCTATGAGAGCTAAGTCATTTATATAGATGAGATAGAATTGGGCCAAGAATCGAGCCTTGAGGCGCTCCACTTTTGATGGACTGTTCAGAAGAGCATTCCAATGTTTTTACTATTTGTTTGCGGCCCGATAAGTATGATTGGAACCATTGAAGGGTCATGCCTCTAAATCGTACTTCTGCAATTTATTTAGAAGTATCTGTTGACACAGTCGAATGCTTTCGTTAGTCACAGAAAATTGCAGCCAGGGATTCTTTAGCATTAAATTAGGAATATACTGTTTCTAGTAGAGAGAACATGTATCATTAGTACCCTTATTTTCTTGGAATTTTCTTGGTGAGGAGTAAGAATGTTATTGTCATAACAGAAGGATAAAATTCTTATTTTGACCAGTTTTTCTACGATTTTTGCAAGGGCAGGAATAAGTGCTATAGGCCTGTAGTTGGAAGGATCATCAGTAGGTCCACCCTTATGAAGAGGGATTATGAGAGAAGTCTTCAGGAACGATGGGAACTCTCCATATTGAAAAGACAGATTGATACAATGTGATAAAACAACCAAAGTTGAAAAACAGAGTTTCAAATATTTTAATATAAATGCCATCCACACTCCTGGAATTCTTGTTTTTGATGTCCTTGATAACCACTATTGATCCCTCGGGGTTAGTTTCATAAAAGAAGAAACTATCAGATATGTCGACATTGCATAGAAACTATAACGGATTTAAAGATGATATATTTCTAGTGAGTTTGCTACAGATCAATAAAAATCATTTAAAGAGTTGGGGTTTGAGCAAACCTCAACCGAACGTGTATTTGCCTTTCCTCTAAGATCATTAATAATGGACCAGCTTTCTTTTGATTCATTTGTTTCCAGCCTTATCCAGTCTTTTTAGTAGATCTGCTTAGCAAGCTTCAAAGTTTTTCTGTACACTGACCTGCACTTATTATAGGTTTATTATAGGTAACGAGGTTTGGGTAGGATCTGTAAATTCCCTTATATGATGTAAAGATCTCAAGTTCTCGGCGGAGGTTTTAATTCCTTTTGTTAACCAGGGTCTTTTATTTATTTTGATTTTTTGAAGAGGTAAAGATTTGTTGAAATTTTCTAATAATCCGTTATAGGACACCTCAAAAGGTCGAGTATTATCTAAGAAAGAAAGCCAATTTGTTTGCTCACAACGTTGATAAAACCTATTATAATTATGCTTTTTGAAAGCATACACTTTTCTCGACAGTTTTGAAAGCAAAAGCTACAGCGTCATGATCTGATAACCCAGAAGAATAAAGAGCAATCAGTATTTGTGAGATCTGAATTACTGCAAATATAGTCAATTACTGAAGACGAGTATTGACAGATATGAGTATGACAGTTGATATGCATAATTAAATTGAAGGACACTAGATAACAATGAGGTGCTCATAGAGTGTGTCTTCAAAATTGATACTGAGGTCCCCTGCAAGAATAATCGATGAATTAATTTGATAGTTAGGAAAGTAAAGATTCCAAATGTTTTAAGGACAAATAAATGTATGTCTGATGACGGGAGTCCTATAATCGCAAATTACGTATAATTTAGGAACTGATCACATGTTTCGTTCGAATCGGTAGAGCGAAAGATTCGAAATATAATGAAAATTGGAAAAAAGTCAAAGTGACAGTAGTGACAGAAATTTCGAGCAAGGGTATAAAATTGGAAACTGAGCAACTTTTTTCTTTGGTATTTTTCAAAATTTACAAAGAAACTTATTTTTTGAGGATTTTCGAAAATAATGTCAAATTTGACAGGTATAAAGTAGCACATGACAAAAGGAAAAGGCGGTTCTTTACTCATTTTTCAAGCACAAATTAACTGCGAAGTCAGAGAAAGCAATGTGTATTATGTAATGAAGAACTCAGGTAGTGTGCTTGGGCCATTACTTTTCTTAATTTATATCAATGACCTGCCAAATTCAATGACAATGTTCATTCACAATGTTATTCGCTGAAGACACTTTTACGCTATTCGGAAATAAAATACTGAGGAGTTATCAGAATTAGAAAAGTAAGTTATTCAGGAAGCTATGGACTGGTTCAATGCTAATAGCTTATGTGTGAATAAAAGCAATACCCAAACAGGTATGTTCTTGCTGTCTCATGATCTCTCAGATGATGTGAAATGTCTTGGTATTGACATACTAACATATTGACATACTAACAAAATATCTATCATGCAAGGTCTGTGCAATCAGACAGATAAAAAATAAAGTTGTAATGAAGATGCCCATACCGCTTATCATGCAATGTTTCATAGTTCCTTAACTTATGGATTGATAAACTGGGGCACATCTATTCATATCTAGAAAATATTTACAATTCAAAAACAAACAATCAGAGCTTTACCTGGAATAGTTCAAATGGAGAACTGTAAGAATTTGTTCATAAAGTTCAATATATTAACTCTGCCATCACGTTTAATATACTGCAATGTGATACACATTCAAGAAAATTTACAGAAGTTTACTAAAAATGGAAACAACCATTTATATAATACTAGGAACAAAGTTAATATTAGAGCATGAAACCAAAGACTAGAAATAACAAGGAGATGTTATCATTGTACAACTTACTTCCTCAATCATTGAAAAATGTAACCCTCTATAATTTCAAAAGGAAACTGAAGAAACATCTCTCAGAGAATGCTTACTATGATGCGTCTGACTTCAGTTTTACTGGGTGACTATCGTCAATGTAGGTTATGTCTCTATGACACTTCATTATTAGAATAAATTAAGTACCAAATACCTTAAATGTCTTGGTATCTGAACCTTTTATTTCCATTGAGGTTTTTTCACATGGTACAACCTACAGAAGTTTAAAAAGAACATTTATGTTGGGCACCGCACTGTTCAATGGTCTAATATCTCGCAGAATATAACAAAATAATACACTTTGAAACCATTGAAAAATATGAAAATTGGTCTTCGGAAAAATGAACTGGTGTTTTCATCTTTCCTATTTTGATTGAATGTCTTTCGTGAAATTCACCAACATAAAAGATACAAAAACAGGTAATTGATTTTATTTCTCCAGTATCTTCAAAACATTTTCGGTTTCTGGGATATGTCTGGAATTTCGCATGAGTTTTGAATTAGAATATAATGTTCATTTCACACCTCGAGAGTTGGAATCGGGGCAGGATATGAAAGTTCTTCTTTAACATCTAGAGGTTGTATGACGTGGAAACCCCTTACTGAGAAGGTGATTCGGTAGATCGTTTTAGGAAAAAAATGTTCGTATGAATATATATCGTAAGATACAGAAAACGGTAATTGTAAAATATCATTAATATACTTAAATTGACGATTGAAATTCGGTACAGATATTTGAAGTAATAAGGCACTGTAGCCAATATTATTGAGGAAAGAAAAGTACGCCACTGCCTGTTTTTTTTATAGTTTTTCATTTTTTTTTAGTTCAAACAACTGAAAATACATTAGTCTTTCGCGTTTTCTTCATATCTACTTACCTTCTTTGGAGAACAAGTGACAGTGATAGTTGTATTGTCATATCAGTAAAATTCAGAGTTGTCAGCAGTGCTTACATCATGAATAATTTTGTTGACATGCACTTTATATTTATGGATTAGTAAATGGAAATGCGGAAGAAACACGGATAATTTACCAGGACAAATATCCTAACATAGTAATTCCATGTGCTATAAAACATTCAGAATGATAAATGCAAGATTATGTGAAACTGGAAGTTTTAGTAAAAATACTGAAAGATTTACTTAATGTGATTGAAGAAGATCCTTCAATTAGTATGAGGAAGTACCAGACATCACATACAACGGGTTCAAGATCTACTACCTCGAAATTTTCAACCAAGATTATTGGTTTGCAGGTATTTTCATACAATGACACACAATAATATTTTTAAAAAAATATTTTATTTACGTACGAGGCAAATGTTTCAGGAGATGCTATTAAGAACTGTTACAATAACCATTTTTGGGCCTACATAAACTCCGTGATATTAGAGAAAATAATTGTTAGCAACAATTTCCGCTGAAAGTTTGGGTGGGAGTTATTTGTGACTACCTAAGCAACTACGAAGCAACTCCGGACATATGTTCACAGTAACTTTGTCCTTAAAATGGCATAACGAATCACCCTCTGAAGTTTAATATCGTGGTTAGGAAATACTGTATATTTTAATGAGTATCATACCTTACCTATTTTCAATGTTTTAGTTCTTGAGGAATCTAGATAATTGCAATCAATTATAACTCCAATTAAATAAATTGAAAAAAATGTGGAGTTTAAATTTTGATTGGTAATTCAGACAGATACTTTTAGGAAAAAAATCAGTGCGGAATTATTTATGTGCTTCAATTTATAGTTCGAACAATTATGGATATTCCAAGCTCTGCAGATAGTGATGAATTGACTGAATATGATATTTATGGCAAAACTCCACCTCGAACGAAAATTTCAAGAAAGAATCGTGAAAGAAAGCAAAAAGAAAGGATTTTGAGGTTAGTACATTTATTTCTTCATCTTTTTAGTGTTTTGTTCATCCATCATTCTTTATCTCTATCCAAATATATATTGCACAAGTGAAGACACTTTCGAGAGTTGGCGTTGGGAAGCAACTGATTGGCAGTTGAAGTTATTTCTACTATGTCTCAATTTTTCTGAAGAATACTTAGTTATTTTCTTCAACGATGATAGAAAAGACTGTTAATCAAAATTAAATGTCAACGATCAACGTCTTCAGTTCTTATTCAGCTGACACCCACTTTCCAGGGATAAAAGTGCCCTTTGAAGAAAGGTGATGTATCTGAATGTTTTCAAGACATAAAAAAACATGTAGAAATGTTGGTGAAAGTGACTTGCAAAATGATTTGGAGCCCACAGTAAAATACCGTTATATGTATACTGAGTGAGAAGGCACATAACTCCGGATAATATGGTTATATTTATCACGTATCAACATATTTCGTCATGCTGAATATCGTAATAAAGAAACTACCCACAGAAGAAACTCAAAATATTTTTTTTAATGTTTGGTATCAGCTATGACGTCAAGGATAAACTATATAAACCTTCAACATGGTCAAAGGCAATTATGTAAGGGGAAGATGCTGTACCTCAATACCATTTTGCTTCAATATTTTTACACTAATCATGATTCTGTTCGTTTCATAAACTAATGAAACGAACAGAATCTAAAAGGCTAACTAATAAAACACGTAATATAATGTTAACAACAGCCTGAGAAAATATTTTATATATAAATTATTGGGTTTAAAAAAAATAGTACTTGGATCAAGGTACAGCATTGCCTGGATAACTTAATCCATATGTGCTGTACCTTGATCGTAGGTGCTGATCCATTGAAACAAAAAATGATTTATTGACCTATTTCAATATAATTAAAGTTTTTTGGTTACAAATTCTTAGTGTGTTAACAATCAACTAAAATTTTATGAAAAACACTTGAGTATTCTGAAAATGAAAATCACAAAACGGCAATCAAAAAAGTTTTCTTTGCAGTCTTCTTCCGTATAATTATGTTTAATCATGAAATATATCTTAGCAACTAATTGATACTTTGTAAATCAAATTCATATAGTAGTAGTAGAAATTAAAAACACCAATATAAGTAGTATCAGAAGAAGAAGATAGATTTATTTGATCATGTTATGTGTAAATTACATTTGACAGAAAAATAGATGGGTACAAGGTATAAAGTTGTGTATAAATAAAAAAAAGTAAAATTTGTAACAAGTTTACGAGGTACATACAACATATATTCAAATTGTGTGGAGGTATGGCAAGCATATTCCTTGCGTCAAAAGTGTGTCTACGAACATGCTCTAAATATTTCGTAGAGGAATAAAAACATTTTTTTTTAATAATTTTTTATAACTTGTTTAAAACAAAACATAATCATATTTTGAATATTGGCAGGTAGTGCATTATACAATCTAAAATCATAGTTTTTTTTGTGATTTCATCAGTCTGAAACGTTGGGGTCTAATGAAATTGCTGTTACGTGTATCATGATTGGGTAAACTGGATTGATTGGGAAACCAGGGAGCCCTTTCGTGAATATCTAATAGACTTGAGTAAACCTACAAAGATAATTTCATGAGTGGTGAATGATTCAAGGCAAGAATTCTTTATTCCATATTCACTTGTCTATCTCTGTCTCAACAACTTGCCAGGCTACCGCTTCAATTATTTCAATAATTCAATAATATAGATTTTCGGGAAAACATTTAGTCTGTGTCCGTACACTGTTATTGATAAGATACGTGAGTTTCTGTAAAGACGACGGCCGTCCATGCTGCAGCTCCGCCAGCAGAATGTCAAACACTAAAGTGAGTGTGAGATAATTTGTATCAAATGCGTTTTTTTCGATTGGTTGGGAAAGGGATCAAAAATAATAGGTAAACAATTTAGTTTTATGCCAACGTTTCGGACTTTACTAAATCCATCATCAGGGCTCTACAATAAAATAATTCAATAAGTGAACAGTATATGCCAATACATATTGCAAAATTTATAAGGTTTATACAATCTCATATTATGTAAAAGAGAAACAAGCAGGTGCACTTACCAAATAGTTATCCATGTCAAAAAAACGTTTAAAATATAATTGTCAGACAACATAGGTACAAATAAAAATGAGGACTAACCAAATGAAAACACATACACCACAGACACATTATTAATGAAAGCGATATTCAGGGAGACAAACTGATTAGGAATGGCCGTTTTTGTTTGCCTTTTAAAAAATTATAAACAATAGAAGGATATCAGATTACACAGGACGGTGGAAACTTATGTGTATTAAAATATTGAGGAATACGATTTAGTAAATTAAAATAAGCACTATTCAGTCCTTCTATGTACCTTCTAGTGTTAACACTTTTTTGTTTGAAAATGTGGATCATCTCACTAAACAGTCGTTTACCTAATAAAGGTTGAATATCTAAAATCTTGGGGTTTGCAAAGTCAAAACTGTGGTTGTTTTCTTTTGTGTATTCAACGAGGGCTGTTGGATTGGCAACATTCAACTTCCTTGTATCTCTTTCATGTTCAGACAACCTGTTTTTGAAGTAACGTCCCGTTTGCCCTACATAACATTCTGGACAATCCTTGCAGTTAATTTTATAAACGACGTTTGATTGCATATTCATCGGAATTTTTGTTTTTTGTTTCGAAAAAATCTTTTACCTACAGTGTTATCATTTGCAAACGCAATTTTAATGTGTTCATTATTTAGAACTGATCCAAGTTTTTCAGAAAGGTTATGTACATAAGGAAATTTGAAATATTTGAAATATTTGAATTGTTAATTTCCAGTATAGGTTGTCTATTTTCATTTATAACTCAGTATCAGAAATTGTGAGTGCTCTTGATTTTAAGTTCCTAATGATAATTAATTTTATTGTTAAAACTCTGTTGTGAAAAATAATTAATAAATATTTTTTTTGTTTGCATTGTAAAAGAAATTTGCTATGATTCCTTTGTTTGGCTAATTTGGTGATCAAATTTCTCCACAATTTGAGATTAAAATATGCTTCATCACCGTAAGTCCTCCTTATTTCACTGAGAAAGCTCATTGTACCAAGTCTGGTGTCCTATCAATCCAAAAATTATATTAACTTTGCCTGGTTTGGTGATCCAAAATATTTTCAAATGCGGTTTTTTCGATTGGTTGGGAAAGGGATCAAAAATATTCGTAGATAAACAATTTAGTTTTATGCCAACGTTTCGGACTTTATTANTCTGACACATATATTTTAAACGTTTTTTTGACATGGATAACTAATGTTTGGTAAGTGCACCTGTTTGTTTCTCTCTTACATAATATGAGATTGTATAAACTTTATAAATTTTGCAATATGTATTGGCATATACTGTTCACTTATTAAATTATTTTATTGTAGATCCATGATGATGGATTTAATAAAGTCCGAAACGTTAGCATAAAACTACATTGTTTATCTACGAATATTTTTGATCCCTTTCTCAACCAATCGAAAAAACCGCATTTGAAAATATTTTGGATCACCAAACCAGGCAAAGATAATTTGTATCAATGGTGAAAGATATACAGGTCGTTTTTCTTGTTATTTCGGAAACGGTGAGACCTACAAGGTCGGTTAATTGGATTAAAGTTCCTTTTGAGGGGGGAGGGGAACTAGGATAATCTCTTTTCATATCGAGAATATCAGTGGTTGTTTTTGTCTGTCTGTGAGACAGACAGAAAAACTAGAATTGTCAAATTCAGTTTTTGGCTCTACCGCCATCATTTCGAATGATATAAGAAAAGGCAGAGGCAGAGGAACTTTCAACACTGTTTCATATTTGTTATAATCTTATATAAACTAATTTGCAACGCGACGTTTCGTTCATTAGATTTTATCATCAACTTCATATTTTTAAATTCGGGCCTCTATTTTTTCATCAATTTTTGTAGCCACTGTAATAACAAATTCAGCTTTGTATTACAACACATGTGTTTCCAGACGTCTATAACTCCACAAATGCTGAAAAATTACCATAAAAATACTATTGCAAGAGCAAATATGTGTTTGAGAAACGATGGACCGCAATTTGAACATTTAATGAGATATCGTGAACGACACAGATGGTTAGGAGTATTTTAACATTAATTTTTTCTGTTTTTTACTTTGTATACTACATGTTCCGGGCGATATGTGGAGTATATGTATAGCTTCGAGTTCTAGACCCAAAAAATATTGTTGTAATAATTAACTGAATTTGTCACTACAGTGGTTATATAAATCGATGAAACAACTAGTGGTCCCTATTTAAGTTTATGAAATCTAATGGACGAACATCGCATTGCAAATTGGTTTATATCAGATTCTAACAAATATGAAACAGTATTGAAAGTTTCCTTGTTTTTTTTTATATAATTCGAAATGGAGACGGTGGAGTCAAAAAACGAAATTTGACAATTCCAGGTCGACGACATCTTCATCCTCGGATATTAAATATAAATGAGGCTCCTCTAGGCAATCAGTTGCAAAGCCAAGTCTCGACATCGACAAGATTCGTCCTCTGCCTGTCAATCTGTCTTTTACTGCAGCTTTCACTGTAAGGTAATTAGTTTAAGGCAGAGGACGAATCTCGCCTACGGTCGATGTTGGAGCTTGGCTTCGCAACTGATCGCCTTGGGGTCTCATTTATCTTTGATATCCGAGGATTGAGTTCTCTTTTGATCCAATAGATGACGTCTTCGCAAGGAAAGATATCGTCGACCTCACTTAGTCAGCCTTGTCCTTTAAGGACAGTCGAGTCCAGAAACGCGTTTGTGTTTTAGCCTGGCACCAGTGATGAGACCTTTGTTGGGTCGAAACAGCGCTAACAAGTCTTGTAAACAGACTTTTTTATTGTCAGGAAGTGGATAGTAAACATTTTCAACATTTATTAGAGTGAACTGGAGTGAGTTTTGAATAATTTTTTCTTGAAATTATGATATTTACCGTTTGTT